AGTGGGAAACATGAGTGTCAGGGTATGTGTGTCTCTCTATGGGAAGCGTAGACTGAAGGGGGCCCAGTTGGTAGAGGAAGAAAGAAGTATTTCTCCCATACTGGGACAGATCCACTTTTTACTAGTCTCCAAGGGAACATATTATTAATATTAATAGATAATATTAATATTATATATATTCTTCTCTGGATCAAGGGCCTGGTGATTTCTCAGCATGGCTTGGAGAACAAGCAGAGAAAATGTGTTTTAAAAAAGCAGACAGGGGCTGGGGATTTAGCTCAGTGGTTTCGTCGCCTGCTGCGCAAGCGCAAAGACCTGAGTTCGATCCCTGGTACCAAAAAAAAAAAAAAAAAAGATTAAAAAAAAAGCAGACAGGATTGGGACAAATTGCTCTGTTTCCTGCCAATACATGTTTTCTGGACACAAGTCTTCTGAACACAAGAGTGATTTCATGTCCACACTCCTTTCAGCTGGATTCTGTAGTGACTGTTCTAAATGTTCTCTGCCCTTCTGGAGTCTTTGCTCCTGCCATGGTGGCATTCTTCTTGGTGTGTTCCCTGGTCCCCTGCTTCTCCAGGGAAGCCTGAGGCTGATTACAGGAGCCCCAGCTCCACATTTCCCTCCAGCCACTCCACACCTCCTTCTGCTTCTATCCCTCTTTCCAAGACAAACCTGGCCATCTGGTGCTGGCTCCACCCAGCCTAACCTCTGGCCTCCACTGCTTCTTCTCTGTTCATTTCCCTTTGGTCATCATTATTCAGAACACCTACAGTGTGCTAGCAGCTGGTGATACCAGGAAAGGAAGCCCCGTGCGTTAAGGTTTGGTGGTGAACATTGTGGCTTTGGTGTGAAATCTGCTTGTTTTTAGAACCTAGCTCTACTCTGGACTTTGGCTAAATGACTCAAACTGTCTGTGTCTCTGCTTCCTCATTTGTAGGGGGTGCGAATGATGATACTTACCTCAAAGCATCGGTGGAAGGGTGTATCAGTCAGCTTCACATTTCTATGATGAAATACCTGAGCGAAGTAACTTAGAGAGAAAAGGTTTAGTTAGTTCTCAGCTTTGGAGGTTCAAAGGCATGGCACCTACATCCATTCAGTTCTGGTAAAGGGATGAATGGTGGTGCATCATAGCAAGAGCATGCTGGAGGAGCAAAGTGGCTACATCTCCAACTGGAGCAAAAAGGGACAGGGAGAGACCAGAGTCCCACAGTTTCCTTCAAGGGCATGTTGCCAATGACTTACCCTCTTAAAAGTTTCACCATCTCCCAGTAGCTCCAGCCTGGGGACCAACCCTTTAACACATGGGCCTTGGGGGACATGGAGCATCCAAGCTATAGCAGAGGGTTAACAAGGTAACAAGTGAAGTGCGTGTAGGGCTGGTGCCCGGCAAGGACTTAGGTTGTGGAAACAGGGCTGGGATTTGTTTCTTTATCGTTTGCCCAGCACATTTTGTTATTAGAGTACTCTCCTCCTACCTGCTATGGTTTGGGAGAAGCTGCCAAGTTGCAGTGTCTGCCCTGACCTCTGGTCGGGGACTGAGCCCCTAATCCAGATCTTGCAAGGTACTTCGTGTCCCTGGTGTGGATAAAAATGGTGTCAGGATGTATTTCTACATTCTAACTTGACTTTTTCAGTTAATAGATCGCTAATGTTTTTCCTGGTGAAACCATGATTGTGGAACATTATTTTAAGATCTGTAGAGCATTCTGTAGTACAGATGCACCATGATTAATCCACCCTCTTAGTGATGGATACATAGATAATGTCCTGTTTTGTTGTTGTTGTTATTAAAACCGGAGTTTAACCACTGACTCTACTGGCCTCTTTCTAGTTCCCGTTATGTATTTGTGATGTCCTGTTAGTAACTCTCCCTATGAAATATTCTCGCCAGTTCATTTCTTTGCTCATTTGAGACATACCGAGTGGGTAACAATGTACATCACACGGTGCCTACTGACTTCTCCCTCTGCAAATGAGAGAATAAGATGGGGCTAAAAGGCAGGCTCTTTGTTGAAGTGAGAGCCTAGGGCTCTTGGAAAAGGGGACACGTGCATCCACCCGTCTGTCCAGCAGCCACCATGGGAGTAAATACCATGTCCTTGGAGCTGTGCCAACCCCAGAGGAAACATAAAATACAGGCTGCAGCCCTCGATCTTAGGTGACAACACAGAGAATGTCTGAGCTCCTCCATCTCCGGACCTAGGGCTCCCCCTACCTCTAAGCCGGTGTGGAGACTGCATAGCGATGGCTGCTTCAGAATGGTTCCACGGGAGCTCCGTCTCTGTCTGAACTTGAACTGATTTTGAATCGTTTTGTTTTTCTCCATTGCTTGGGGGAAGAGTCTGACTAAGAACACGAGCCTTGCAAGCGGACAGCCCTGCGCTGAGTCTGACTTGACCACTTGCGAACTGTGGCACCTTGAGGGGCGCCATGGCCTCGGTGACCGGCGGTACTCATCTCTGCAGCATGGGAGTCCTAGCGCGAGCCCCTCGGAGCCGGGTGAGGCTTTCGCTGGACCATTCTGAGTGAGCTTAGCTAGGGCCTGCTGTGCAGGAGGAGTTCAGACCATGCGAGTCAGTATGAGGACTTCTGCTTCTTCATCCGCAGGTTCTTGCCTGGTTGGGTTTTCTCTTCTAGTTTCCACAAATCAGGCAGAAGACTGATCCAATGTTTTGGGGCCTGAGGACTTTTATGGCTTGGGGTTTAGCGCCTGGCTTTGGGATCAGATTGGTGGCTAGGCAAGCCATTCAATAAGAAAGCCTTAGCTTTCTGGTCTGGAAACTGGTGGCAACCCTTGTACACACCCCAAGGGTGGCTGTGAGGACCCAGGGTGTTCAGCACAGGGTCCGGAACCCACACTGTCTTCTGAAAGCTGATCGCAGTTCACACCAGGGACTTATCCCTTTTCTTCATTCCTCATTCTGAGAAGGAGCCAGCAGTGTGGGCTGGACCTAAACAAAGACTTTGGGGTGGGCCCAGGATGCAGGACCTGAGCTGGCAGCCTCAAGGAGAGATGCTACTTAGGAAGCCACCAGTGTGAAGAGCGTTGCTTATCAGAGGACGGAGAGGCGGACACGGCATTCTGAGAATCCATTCTTCACTGCTGTTGAGAAGGAACCAGATCATTTCTCAGTATCGAGGAAGAATCTGGAATAGGGTATTTTTTGTATGAAGTCTGAGATGGTTACTAATGGCAGGTCTGGAGCAGTTACTGATAATGAAGCAAAGACTACTGAGTCATGTCTGAGAAGCACAAGGATTCACAGGAAATAAAATCAATATCCTTGAAGAACAGCACCTGTCATATTGTCAACTGGGGAGGTTTTAAAAACTGAAAAAAATTTTTTTATTATAATAAGACTTTCTTATGGCAAAAACTAAAATTCAGATACTCTTTGGGGTTCAGGATGCACCACTGCAAAATATGACTGAAACCAGATAGTGCCACTCAAAATATATTTCTTTGGCATATTTTGAGCTGGTATTTGGAGAAACTGCAGACATACAGGCAAAAGTGATGCACCTCTCTAAAGGAAATTGACACCAGGAACGTATCATTATCAGCAAGAGGCTGCTGTGGGCTGAGGTCTACCACCTGAGACAAAGTCTACATGTCAGCAGTGTGGCCTTGACTGCTCCAGTTCTCTCCCCTGCCCTCTGCGGCTTGTTGCTGTCTCTTCCCTCCCACTGGAGGCCCAGGGAGCCAGTTTCTTCCTACAGCTCAGGATGCAATGTTTTGGTTATTCTTGCGCATATACACAGAATTAAATTTTTTTTTCTGTTGATCTGTCTCTTGTCAGTTTATCTCATAGACTCAATTATCAAACCTTCAGAAAATAGAAAATTTCCTGTCCCCTACAACTGGCAGTAAGCTTATTTATTCAATAAACATTGTTATTGTTTATTGTTCATTTTGAGCACCTACTCAGTGTTAAGCATCATCTTGGGGAAGCAGCTAGGAGCAAAAAGAGACAAAAAATCTTGCAGATCTTACACAGTCCTGGGGAAGAGATGCTGAAGGAATAAAATTAAAAGCCACGTCTCCTTTCCAGAGAAGTAGGAGAGAAAGAAAACAGTTTTATCACAGAGTAAACATTAAACCGGAGTGTGATACATGTCACTGGCAAAGGTGGCAAAGACAGAAAGAAATCTTACCCTTTTACATAGTCAAGCAGAGGCAGCTGATTCAATTCACCTTCTCAAGACCAGGGGTGAGCAAATCTCAAGTCAGAGGACAGCATTTGTCACAGACCTATGGCTCATCTTAAATTCACTTGGCCACTGGGGTGGGCGTCTGTGTTTGCTAATTGCAAGAATCTACATTCAAAGGAATAGCAGACTTCTCTCTATGACAGCATGGCTGTAGCTGGGAGCTGGTCACCTAAATTTACTTCTCATTTGGACTAGGAGATGGGCGTCCATGTTCTTGAGGCCTGCATTTCAGGAAGGCTCTCAGACCCCTAAGAAAAAACGTTCCTGGTTGAGAAAATCGACAAGTCGCTTATTTAGCTTTTAAAAAGATTCACATGTATCTCAAAGGGCCAGAGGAGGAATTTACAATCACAGGTTTCCTAAAGGAAACGTTGCTGTAGGAAAAAGAGAGGGGTTCTTTCCCTTCTTTGAACCAGGGAAAATTAACTTTTATGGGTGTATGATGTGTATTTACCTTTAGAGAGATCTGCACTAAACGAATAAATACACACTGGAATGTCAGATGGCAGCAAATGCCACGAGGGAGCAGAGCAAGGGGCCAGGGAGTGGCAGGCAGTGCTCCGTTAGCTGGGGTCCCAGGGTCTCCCTAGAAAGGTCCTGCAGAGCCTGGAGCAAGGTTGCTGGGGAAGGCCGGCCTGGCAGGGCCAAGTCTCTGCTTCCCCAGGTCCTCCGGGACGTGTTCCGCGTGTTCAGTCAGGTCTGGTTGTTGTTCTCTCTTGCTTTGACCACCTCCCCCCCCCCCCCCCGTGATTATAGCAGCTCTTCCTTTATCTGGTTTTACACAGTCCTGTCAAGGACATGCCCCTGCGCTGGTGGTGAATACGCAGCGCAGCGGCGTCCTCTTTCCTTCCAAGGCTGCGCTGCACCGGTCCCCAGGCGGACAGGGCTCTGCCGAGCTGCTGCCCTCTGGCCGACTCCGCCGAGGAGGGGGCGCCAGCTGGAGCTGAGGTTGGCGCGTGGGAAGCGGGTGGCCGCTCAGAAGAGGCCACGTGGCCGAGGCCCAGGGCTGGGGGCAGCAGACAGGCGTGGGGCGAAAGCTGCCAGGGCCGAGCGCTGCATGTCAGGGCTCAGAAGAGGACACCCCAGAGACTGGCGCTTTGACGTGAGGCCTTAGGAGCGGCCTCGCGTTCGAGGTCTCTCTGAGCTTTGCTTGCTTCCAGCTCAGGGGGAGACAGGAGTACGGGGTCGGCTTGCTGACATTTCACCGAGGGAGAAGAGAAACTGCCGGGAAGGAAGCCTGGCAGTGGCACCTCGGCTCCGAGGCCCAGAGCAGCTCGGTTCCGGCCGCCATTCTCCTGGGCCCGTTCATCACCCCAATCACGGCGCCCCCCACCCTGCGAAGGGGTTGTTCAGACCTCAGCCCTCACCTCTCCGAGTCGCGTGCTCCCCGCCCCGCCAACCTGCCCGGTGTCAGTTTATTACTCAGACCAAGATGATCAGGTCTTCAGGGGGACAAGAGAAAATTGAAAGCTGCCCTTGGTCACCGCAGATTTAACCTGAATTTTTTCTTCATCGGTGCACGGGTGTAATGCGGCTGTCTGTGGGAAGGCTTGGGATTTACGAACGCTTCGCAGGCCGGGCGGTAAGTGCACCATCTCAGTACCTGCTGTCCTACCACTGCGCCCTGGGCCTTGCCCCCCGGTTCTGGACGCCGGCTTCCGAGGCGGAGCTCCGCTGGACCCCGCCTTCGGATGGGGTCGCTCCGGGGCAGCGCGCGATCCCCGGAGCCGTGGAGTACGCGTCCTGCCCGCAGGTGGCGCTGCAGGTCCTCCCAAGCCTCAACAGCAGCCGAGACGTCGGGGTTGGAGAGCGTTAGGTGCACTTTGCAAACCCAGCTACTTGGGCCAGGGCCGCTGAGTCCCTGCGCCGCTCTGCAAACCGCTTTTGCATGAGTCACCAATTGTCTCTCGTAGGAAGCGCGCCGTAAATTCATCAACTTGTTTTTAAAAAAATTTTCTCTAAAGATTTTCCATGCGTTCAAAATAGATCCATGCATATGCATGAAGCAATTATCACTATCTTCAAGGAGAAGCATGAGATGTAGCAGGTACGGTTTTACAGACCAGGAGTGGCAGTGTGGAACCTTAGCTTCCGGCTTCTCTTCTAACCCCCCCTTAGCGAGTAATCCTCCACTCCTGCGCGTGCTTCGTGAGCTGTTGACCCGGGGAGGGGACAGGGCCTGTGGAAAGGAGATGTTTTCTGAGAAGGCAGAAGAGGTCTCAGTGGACTGCGCAGGAGCCGCGTTCGCGCTGGCCTGGGTCTCCGGACCGCAGGGCGACCTTCCCGGGCCTCGAGGCTGGGCGGGGGTGTAAAGGACCGAAGCCTTAGGGCCCAGCCTTGCGCAGGAGGGGCGAGCCAGGCTGCTCGGGGCACTACCGCACTGCTGCCTCCAGCGCACGAGAGCCCGAGGGGCCCCCTGCAGACTGGCTGTGCAGTGCGTGGTAAGAGCAGCCGCACCCCCAGCCCCATTCAGAGGCGGAGCCTGCGCCTCTGCCCTCGAGTCGAGGCGGGCCTCTGACTGGCTTTGGCCAATAGAATGAAGGAGACGTGAGGGTGTGGCTGGGAGTCCAGCCCTCGAGGGCCTTCCTGGCGTCCGGTTTTGTTTTTAGGAACTGTGACTGCAGGGTACACAAGCCAGGTTAGCCTGCCGGAGGATGAGACGCTGTGGAGTAGACTGAGTCATCCCAGCTCAGTACTGCGATGACTTCACACCAGCACCTTCCCCGCCTTCCCTCACCTCCCTGGGATTTGGGAGCTGAGTGCAAATGCCCGGGGGAGATCCACTGACGGGAGCCTAACCCTGAAATCACGAGGTAGCCAATGATAGTTATACAGAAGATGCTAACTGATCCCAGCTGGACACCTACATTCAGGGAATATGAAAGCTTCCGAGTTTTAACTGTTGGCATTGAATTAAAAAAACAAAACCTACGGGGCAAACCAAATGTTTTTGAGCTCTCCGTGAGCCCGTAGGATCACCACCTTGCCCAGCATGCTGGGATGCCCGTGGGGATGCCTGGTTGGCTGCTTGCAGCAATCTCAGCAGACGCAAGTCGCAAGTCGTAGTGAACTCATAAACACTAATTGAGTGTCAATATAGGAAGTTTTTCTCTGACTTTTTTTTCGTTAAGTTTATTGGTACATTTTAGGTCTACAATACAGTTACATTCATCACTGGGATCCTGTAGCTGTACATGACGTGTCTTGATTCTGATTTTTTCCCCATTCCCTGCCCTCCCTTCATCCCCTCCACCCTTCCCTGTTTCCATTTTTTCCTTTTCTCATATTTTTTCTTTTCCCTTCTTTTCTTTCCTTTCCTTTTTCCCCCTCTCCGCTTTTCTTCCTTGCCTTTCCTTCCCACTTCCCCCACTCCTTTAGACCCTTTCTTTTTATTTCACATTATGAATGATACCATTTGAACCTTATTTACACTCTCAGTTTCTCACACCAGGGAAACTATTTGGTATTTACACATGTGTGTCCTATTTATTTCACTTAAGAGTATGGCCTCAATGTGCATCCATTTAGCTATAAATGACTCTAGTTTCTCATTCTTTATGGCTGACTAGTACTCCATTTTATAAAAAAACCCCACATCATCTTTATCCAGTCTCCAGTTGATGGGCACTTGGGCTGTTTCCAAGCTTTAGCTATTACAAACTGTGCTGCTATAAACATGGGTACACATATATCGCTGTGGTATGATTCTTTTAATTTGGGGGGAAGATACCCAACAGAGGAATAGCTGGGTCAAATGGGACCTCTAGTCCTAGTTCTTTGAGGTATCTCCATACTGATTTCCACAGTGGTTGTACCAGTCTGCACTCCCACCAACAGTGGAGAAGGGTTCCTTTCTCCCCACACCCCTGCCAGCATTTGTTATTGGTTGAGTTCTAGATAGCAGCCATTCTTTCTGGGGTGAGGCAGAATCTCAGTGTTGTTTTCATCTGCATCTCTCGAATGACCAGTGATGTTGAACATTTTTTCATGTGTTTATTTGCTGCTTTTACTTCTTTGTCTGAGAAATGTCTGTTCATTTCAGATGCCCATTTTTGAATTGGGTCTTTATATTTGCGGGATCTGCTTTTTCTGAGTTCTTTATATATTCTAGATAGTAGACTTTTGTCTGAGAAAGAGCTGTTAAAATTTTTTCCCACATTGTAGGTTGTCTCTTCATACTGTTGGTGGCTTCTCTTGCAGTGCAGAAGCTTTTGATGGGTTGGGGGGGGCGAGTCTTTTGGGACTTTTCTCTTGGAATATGGAGATTCAGCTTGGTACCTCTGCCTTTCTTTGTTGGGGACAGACTCTGGACACATGCAGAATCTTTATGCTTCATTATCACCAAGTCCTGATCTCGTTCCCCCTGCTGTGCACTGGGCACCGGTGAGGCTGGAGTCTACATATGGAGCTGCTTTAATAACTTCATCGGGAGAGTGATCAGTGGGTATTGATGAGGGCCTTAAGTGATTATTCTGATCTGAGTTCCTGTGAAGTTCGAAAAGAGGCAGCAAAAGGAGCTAAGCTCTTCACTCCAGTTTCCTAAAGGTCTCCACATTGTTTCCCCTGCATTGTCTGTGAGACTTTTAAAAAGCTCTTAAGTATAGGTTGGTCCTAAATATCTGCCAGAAGGGAGCATTCAATTCCATCAGAATTGCAAAACTACAAAAGAAAATGAAAAGCCGGAGGAAGGTTGGAGTGGCTACTTATTCTTCCGGTGAGGTTCTTCTCTGAGCGGGTTATTCACTGGAGGGTTTTACAGGAGACAGAGAAAGGATTGTGATTGCACACATCCCACACAATGGTCCCGGCTTGCTGCTCTCTGACTTCAGACTTGAACAAGGCCTGGCTTGTCGGGCTCATAAATGCTTTCAATGCCATTCCCGTTTCATGAGCTGTGATTGCTGGAGCTGATGGATCAAAGGAATGGGGGCCCCCATCTTTAGAACATCTTCAGTCCCAGCTCAGGCTGGGGACTGCCTGTGTCAGGATTATCTGGACAAGGCAGGGGAAGGAAGAGCTCCTTCTAAAAGCAGGTTCCATCCCCAGCACTCTGCGATGCTGCTGGGGTAAGAGGATTCTATATGTGAGCCCAGCCTGGGCTGCTAGCAACTTAGAGAAACCCTGTCTCTTAAAAAAAAAAAATGAATAAATAGGGTTGGGGATGTAGCTCAGTGCAAAGGTTCTGGGTTCAATCCCTAGTGCTGCAGAAAGGACAAAGCAAAACAAAACAAATAAAAAACCCACATTCCAGGGTCAAGACTAAAGTCAGAGATTTGGAATCCCTGGGGCTGAGCCCTGGGCGGAAGCTCTTTACCAAGCTCTTTTGTGCTTTTACATGGGGTGGGGAAGCAGGCAGTGTGGCCCAGGGGTGAGCTCTGGGAAGCTTTCTCTTCTGTTAAAGTCTGAACCTAAAGCTTGCAGTGAGGTGCTGACTGATGGCCCAGCATCTACAGAGAGTTGGCTTTGACTTTTGCCATTAGGATCAGGAGAGAATTTTGCACGTAGCTAAAATTGTGTCTTAGTGTAGGCGAAACGGATCATCTCTGGCTGAGAGATGCATCTTTGTACCCGATTTAGGACTCTGATATTTGGAATTAGCCGTGTGCTGTGAAATACAGCTGACTGCATTAAAGCATAACTGTTTTCAATTGCTGTGGAGCAAATCACCCCACTACTCAGTGACTTAAAGTGATAATGAAAATTTATAGTTGTTTACAGTTTCTGGGGGTCAGAAATCTGGAAGGAATTTAATGTGGGGGGATCTGGTTCAAGAATTCTCGTGAGGTTACCGTCAACACACAGGGTAGGGCTAGAGTCACCTGGAGCTTTGGTTGGAGCTGGGAGATCCACCTGCCTGGCAGCTTCGCATGATAGACTGGCTGTGTGGATGGCTGGTGGGGGCTTGGGTTTCTCTCCTCGTGAGCATCCCCATAGTGCAGCTTGAATGTCCTCACCCATGATGCCACCTGTCCCCAGAGCCAAGAGAACACAGTAGATGTCGTGGTTCTCTTTGTAACCTAGCTTTAGAGGTCCCGTAGTATTATGCCTGAAATAGCCTGTGGGTGGAATCACCCTCACGACCAGTGGGTGGGGGCGGCACAGAGTTTCGAGTGCCAGGAGGCCAGCACTATGGGGCACCACCTTGCAGGCTGGCTACCAATGAGCAATAGTCACCTTGTCAAAAGATAGTGAAAACTGATCGCGACTGGGAGTTTATGATGTGTTAAAAGCTGTCTTGTCCTTCTTTCACAAGTCTTGTAATAGTATAAATGCCATTTATCAGTTTTAAACATTTGAAATTCGATTTGCAGACCAAGCATGGAAGACAGCATATGAGTTCAGAGGGAATTGTAAGAACTGTTTAGAACCATAAAAAGCTAAGGTTTTGGGGACAGAAGTTGTGAAGTGGATGGGAGGGAGGAGAAGCAGTGTGAAAGGAACGGGAGCTAATGGGCAGCTTATCCAGTCGGAATGTCAAGAGAGGGCTTGAAAAGTTAGTGGAAGGAGAAATAGAGGGTGGAACTCATCAAAGTCCTAAAGTGACCACAGAGGGACTGAAAATACAGCCACAAACACCAGAGA